CATCCCTAAACAGTTCAGCGTGCGTTTCCTAAAAGCAAGAACATCCCCACATAGCTGTTGTAGTCACGGTCACCAGGGAGTTCACACTGGTACAAAGCTGCTATCGAATCTGTAGAGGGAGGGAGATGGCATGGATTGTCTGATAATGTCCTTTGTAAGAAAAACCATGTCCCAGTTCATGTGTCTCATTCAGTGGTTTGTCTCTTTAAACTCCCTTGATCTGGATGTCAAAGACTGAATTCCTCCGTCTTTCATGACCTTGACATTTTTGAAGGGCACAGGCCAGTTACTTTGTAGAATGTTCTTGAGCCTGAGCTTGTCTGAGGTTTCGGTCCATCACAGACGCAGCTTTTTCGTGCTTGGCTGGAGGAGCTCAGGGTGATGTGTGTCCTTGGGAGACCCATGACGTCAGTTTGTACCATCCCACATAACACTAATTCTGACCGTGTGGAACTACCGTGGTCCCACTGATGAAGTGTCTCACGGGGAGATACCCTGACACTTTGTAAACGTCTCAAAACTCCTTAGATTTTCACCACCAGTTCCGGCATCCATGGATGAATCTCGCCTGAGTTGATTATTAGGATGATTGGCAAGTAGTGATTTTCCAGCACACCGTTAACTTTACATGTACTAGTTGGCTTTCTGCTGTTGGGGAAGACTTTTCCTTTCTCTGTATATGGATGTACGTGTCTATTTATTACATGTTGTGGACACGTTGCTTTTTACTTTATTCAGTAGGTCATAATCATTTACTAGCAGTATTTATTTTGCTGCTCAAATTTTCTGGGTTAGGTCGGTGGCTGTCCTTCGAGCTGCCTCTTTATCCTTTTGATGTCATCCTGTGAGCCCTGAACCAGCTACTTCTCCTCAGAGTTCTGGCTCTTATGAGTGGAGGAAATATCTAGAAGCCAAGATCCGGGCAGTAAGAAGTGTTTGACATACTTGTGGGCCTGCTCAGAGACAGAGCACACGGAATACCTGCTTTTATCTGTAAACCACATAGACAGGCATCACACACTGTGAGTTTGCACCCTCGTCTCCAACTCCAGGCTAACAAACGGTCCCCCCAGCCTCCCTCCTCCACGGCGGTGCCTGCTTCTCAGACAGTGTGTTATTAGGACGATTGATCTGGTGGATGCTTCCTGCACTTTATCCGTTCACATGCTCACTCTCGGAATACACAGAGCTCTTCGTGCCTGGGGAGATGAAGGCCACTGAGCAGCCCGTGTTCCGGGCTCTGCTTGGGCTTCGGGTATAAAGCGCGCCATTTCCTGGGGTGTTCAGAAATTGTGTGGCCTGGTTCCTGCCCCTTCTTTCTGTGTGGTTGTTATTCATTTGGAATGTAGGTTTTTAAATTTGTTTATATTTCATTTTAGAATTTTACTCCCATTCTTGATTTTTGCTTTTTTTTTTCTTTTTTTGAATATGGGAAAGATAAAATATATTTAGTAAAAAGAAATTAATCTTTTCTTTAAAAGCTAAAAATTTGGTCTTTTATTAAACCAGTTGTTTAATTTTATGAAAACTTCAATCCAAGGGAAGTATATAACCATATTATTGACACAAATGTATGTAGTTTTGTAAAAGGTGCCATATTTTCATGGAGCTAATGTTAATGGCCCATGCTTGAATCACTGATACTCAACTTTGTTAAAAATAAATACGTGTTTATATATTCACTGAGTCTGTTGATTATTGGCCATTTTGGAAGAGAAACACAAAGCGTGTCAGAGTCAGGTTAGTGCTCACCTTTGTAATTTTTGAGGAGAGATTCAATATAATAATTTTATGTTTGGAAAACAACAAATTAATGTTTTTGCAGTACAAACTAAAGAAAACCAATCCTCTGAAAAATTTCTCTGGCTGCTGAGATCAAGTTAAGAAAAAAGCAAAAAAGAGGCTTGGCATGATGGCTCACACCTGTACTCCCAGCACTTTGGGAGGCCAATGTAGGAGGATCACTTGAGGCCAGGAGTTCGAGACCAACTTGGGCAACATAGTGAAACCTCATCTCTACGAACGATATAGAAGCCAGGTGTAGTGGTGCATGCATGTAGTCTCAGCTACTCAGGAGGCCGAGGCAGGAGGATTGATTGAGCCCAGGAGGTCGAGGCTGCCGTGAGCTATGACTGTGCCACTGCACTTCAGGCTGGGTGACAGAGCGAGACCTGTCTCAAAAAAAGAAAGGAAAAGACCATGCTCAGCAGTGTTCATCCTTCCTGGTCACAGGCTGGCTGTTCAGACGGAAGCATCAGGCTGCACCAGCTGAGCTCCACGTTTCCGCTCCTGCAGTGGGACAGCAGCACGGACAGCCATGCAGTCACCGGCCTGCAGTGGTCCCCGACCAGGCCTGCCGTGTTCCTGGTGCAGGATGACACATCCAACATCTACATCTGGGACCTCCTCCAGAGCGATCTGGGTCCTGTTGTCAAACACCATCTCTCCCCCAACAGGCAAGTGGGGAAGTTCTGGACCAGCTGTTGGTTGCAGGGGGTGCTTTGGCCACAGGTGCCACTTGTGGTCTTTCTTCTTTGATTTTTGCATGAGGCTGCTACATTTTAAGATGTGGCCATATGTAAATTTAAATAATATGTTTAGTTAAAAATTAAAAAATACTGTTTTTGAGAGCGGTGTTGGGTTCACAGAAAGTTGAGTGGAAGGCAGAGATTTCTAGCCCCTATCCCACATCCTGGCCGGAGGTACGTGAGGTGGAACCACGGACCTGCCTCCACACCACCACCACTGAGTCCACAGTTTACCTGAGGGTTCACTCTTGGATTGTGCATTTAAATAATATTTTTAAAACCACTTTAAAGTGTGATTATTTTATATTTAGCACAAGGTAGTCTATTGGATTAATAGATTAATCGTGCAGTATTTCCCCATCATTAGTATTCTGTGAGTAAGAAATGATAGTTTGTGAGAGCTTCTTAGTTATGTTCCTTTGCCAGTCTTATGGACTATAAGTTTGTAATGTCTGAACGAGGTACTAGGTGTTCCCCTAGTGTCTAAAGGGAGAAAAGGGGATAGCGCGTGGAATTAATGATCCACGTGACTCCACACTAAAGCCATTCCGGCCCAGGCCCCTCAAGGGGCTCCCAGCTCACAGCCAGACCAGTGCAGCCGGGGCGTGCACATCAGTTCACGTGATGTCACTGATGGAATTAAGACAGACGCGCTCCCGTCGACACCACTGTTAGGTAGTTCTTTGTTGCTTTTTTGTTTCACAGCAGAAGTGTTCACAAAAACTTTCATCATGAGGTGCTCTCCCTGGGCCCTGCTTGTCTGCTCACCTGTGTTTTTTTTCTTGAGATTTTACATTTCTTTTTAATAAATCCTCCTACTGTGAGGGTTCATGTTGACCTGGGGAGAGAAATCCCACAGCCCTTTTGTAAAGGAAAGATAAGAGTTTAATAGAATGTTGGGGTTATCCCAGTGAGATCTGAATGAAATTAAGAATTGCGTTTATTTAGTTTGATTCCTGGGTTTACTTACATTATTCTGATTATTAAAAAATTACACGAAAATCCAGACTGTAACTTGCAGAGAACCACACAACACACCTGCAGTTGATTATTCCAGAAAGTGTGTTCGTGCCTGCATTACAGGATAAACACGTTTACCCAGCACCGACTGTGCCTGGTGCCTGGGGCTCCGCACCCTGAGGTCTCTCGCTCCCTGGTGGAGGCAGACGATGAGCAGAGTTAACGAGGGCTCCCGAAATGTGCTGGGAAATGTGCTGTGGAGGCAGGTGATGAGGAAGAGGTCACGAGCGGGGGTCAGGGCTGAGGGGGCAGGTAGAGACTTAGGAGATGGGATCTGGGGGTGGGCAGCAGAGCCTGGGCAGGGGCGGGTGACACACCCCAAGGTGGACTGTGCTGCCATGGCAGGGGACTGGAGGGTCCGAGCGCAGGAGCCCCAGCTCTGTGTGTGACGGGCTCCAAGCCTGGCTCCCAGTGGACAGCATGTTTGTTGTCACTGGCAGGTTAGGGACCCCTCCGCTCTGGTGCCTCATCTTAAGGGCATCACGGCTTTCCATGAAGGAGAACTTGCTAGGGACCCTGGCTTCAGTCTCCAGCTGAGACCCCAGTGACTGGCTGCCCTGGGGAGCTCCCCTCACCCCTCAGCGGTGCTGGATGCCTGGGTCAACCCTGTCCATCTCTCAGGAAGGAGGTGGCAGCCGGGCCCACGTTCCTCTACTTGCCACACAGGAAAAGGCTCTGGAAGGAGGTGGCGTTCTCTCCTCCTGTTGGGCAGCCAGAGGTACCTGACACAGAAAGTGTCCAGTTACTTTTCTCTGGTTAGACAGAGAAACAGAACAAGAAGAAATGGATAGTTTGAAAGGAAGGAGTTTCGATACAAGCAATGATTTAACACTTTTAGAGTGACGTTACAGTCTCTGACAAGGACTCACTGTTGCGTGTGGTTAAGAAGCAGGTTGGCCGTGGGGAACAGGCAGGGGCCTTCGGGGCCAGCACAGGAGGTGGCAGGAGCCTCATGATGGCTCAGCGTTGGGCCCAACTTTCGCTTTTGTCCTCTGTCCTCTTTGCTTGGATTCTGTCTGCCTTAACAAATCTGAAGGACGTTTAAAAGAACTGACGGGTGCTAGTACTGTGTTTATACATCTGTCATAGCTGTGGTTTTAAAGCATCTAGACATAGTTTACCAAGGGACTGTGTTTTATTTGCCCAATGTCAGGGAAGCCTTTGGTGTCCACCGTCCATTACTGATGTTTTCAAGTTTGCAGCTAAACATCACCCCTGCTTTACACACGCAATTGAACAGCAGTATTCAGGTATCCGCTGGTGAAAATCTGAGTGGCTTGTAGTTCCTCATGGTCTGCCCCTTTTGGGGTGTCACAAGGCTTCATTCCCACACTCTGCTGCCCCACGTCCTGGGGAGTGAGAAGGGAGGGGGTGCACTCAGATAGCTGTCAGATTGGATGTGGTTTTCACCCCTGTAGTGACAAGGGCAGGGACCCCACCCCCATCATCATCAGGCACAGCCGGGATCCTGGCAGGTCCCTGGGCGATGGCATCAAGCTGGATCTCAAAGGACAAGTGGGAGTGAAGCAAAGATAGGCAGGGAGTCTGCCAGAGGCACAGGGAGACGGGTTTCCCCAGCGAGGCCTGGAGCTGCAGGTGCCGGGAGTGTGAGCCGGAGGCCCAGGGCCACAAGAGACTGGGCGTGCTCCCACTAGCCACAGGACCATGAGGAGAGACTGGGCGTGTTCCTACCAGCCACAGGAGGGGTTTGAGTGGGGCCGGGTGGACAGCGCAGGTGTGTCTTTGAGTCTCTGTCAGCCTCGGGAGGGGCTTAGAGCTGGGGCCCGGTCAGGGAGCTTGTGGTCATCAGAGTGAGATGAGGATGGCCTCACTGTGGGGAAGGGGCCCCTGGGAGTGAGACTGGGGAGGCAGGGTGGCCCCAGGTCTCATGCTCGGGCACTGGGTGGACGATGGAGGTGCTGGTCCCGTGGAGGCCAGGAGTGGAGGGTCCGGGGCTCCTGGGTGAGTCTGGGCTGGAGACGCAGACTTGTGAGCCCTGACACTCAGCTGTGGGTGAGATCCGGGGAGGCCAGAGACCGAGGATGAGGCTCTGATGGGTGGGCCTGCCTGGGCTGCTGGCGCCCCCACCTTCTCCAGGGACCTGCCTGGGGGCTACTGACTCCTGGCCTGAAGAGAGAGCAGGCACCCTGAGAGAGTGCAGCACGTCCTCATCACTTAGCTCTGCGAAGGTCCATCCGGCAGGCCTCTGACATGCAGAAATGGGTTTTCACACATTTATTTCTGGTCTAGCTTTCGTTTTGGCTATTGGTATTTTTAGAATTTCGTATCCGTTTCACTCTTCCCATGGAAGATTGATATTTTGAAGACTCAGACATAACCGAATGTCCCTTTGTATGCACTGACCCTCTGCTTCTGTGCCCCTCCCTGTAGGCTGGTGGCCATGGCTGCGGTGGGTGAGCCCGAGAAGGCTGGTGGCAGCTTCCTGGCCCTGGTGCTGGCCAGGACCTCCGGCTCCATCGACATCCAGCACCTGAAGAGGCAGTGGGCAGCCCCAGAGGGGGATGAGCGCAACAGGCTGCGTCTGCTTTTGCGGGAAGCCCTGTGGCAAGAGGGAAAACCACACAAGTAGCGGGTGTTGCTGAGAGGACGGCGTTTCGGTAATGACCCAAATTTAAAAGATATAAGATGGATAATTTTACATTTCTGTGCAAGTATA